GTGACCAGAGGCGCACCGATCTATATGTTGCAACGAACTCTTGCTGTCCGTGCATACAACGATATTATATTGGCTACTGATAACATATGTCAAAGTTGCAATAACTTTCAAAGTCATAATAGTAGTACGAGTACTTATTTTAAAACAATAATGATTTTGATTTAGTATTATATCTATATAAGGCACATAAAACGCAAACCCATATCCTTCTACACTCTTATAATTAGAATATAGTTAAGTAGTTTCGGCTGTGCGTTGATAGAGCTAGTTTTGCCTTATATATATATACATATATATATATATATATATATATGTTATTCGTACCACAAAACACGATGGCCAACTTTTTTTTATTAAGAGACCCTTTGATATTTTAGGGATTGATATAATAGGTTTCCAAAAAAGTCCAAACAGAACCTCTTTGACGAATTTGTCCCTCTGTTGGTCTAAACATTGGCATGGCTTGCCATGGTCATGGCATCTTTTCAGTGATAAACGTTATTAGTGCTATTTCTATTGACTTGAATTAGTAGAATTTATTACAGAATTTGTGGTAAAAGAATTTTAAAGTTTTTATTAAGTGTAATTAAATATGGAAATCACCCAAATTAGTCAAAAGTAGGGTAATATTGGGGCTGCTGCCTCACTTACATCCGTTCGTGATGCAGTTCGCCCCAATATTACACTAAACAGCTCTACATTTCCATTTTTTTAACTAAGCAGATGTCTTCTCAATTCTGTATCACTTTTAACTCACAGCGATTTTCCACTTTTTAATTTTTTTTAACTAAGCAGATGTCTTCTAAATTCTGTGTCACTCTTTTTAACTCACAGCGATTTACCATACTCTTTCAAACATTTATTTACATAATCTAACCCTTTCACGGCGTTCACATAAAAACATTGAGAATAATGTAATGCGTGTTGCATCCACGGATCATCATAAATCTCCCAATCTCTAATAACTCCTCCACAGGAAAAAGAAGCAGCTGTATCATTTATGCTATCGCCAAAATAAAAGAATCCCGCATCAGCCATTTCACTCACCAGTGCTTCTCTTAAATCACTCGTTGCCCAATAATGGCAAAATGAAAATTAGCGTGTTTTATATGAATCATATAAACTATATCGGGGTCTGTATTCGTTTTGAGACATGTCCCTCTTGCTTTGTGGAGGTTTGATCTTGCTGGTTGCATGAGTATAATGAAGCTGCAAAGCTGCGCTGATTCCTTATAAACATTTTAAAAAAGTTGCCGGTAGAGAGTTTTTTATGAAATAAAATAAAGAATATTTCAAATATTATTGTCAAAGCACCATTTATTTAAACAAAAAACATTTTTCAAAGCACATACTGAGTCGTGATTAATACAACTATACAAATCTTTACAATCTTTATATCGATCATACAGATTTCATTAACTAGGACATCCTTTATCTTCTAAATTAATTATATTATCATTTTGTAAGATGGATTTTAACCATAAAACTATTTCTAAACCTTTGACGTATATACATTTATCCTTTACATTATCTGCAATCAAATTCTTATAATTTAAATAAGGTGTTACTCCCTCACACCAATATATCTTTCTATTACCTTGAATCCAATTTACATGTTTTTTTCTTCTTTTACAGTCAATTTGTAAAAAAGAAATGGTGGTTTAATTAAAATTCGTTATATTTTATTGTTACACAATATTGCAATTTCTTTCACTATGAATTCATTTCTTTCTGTTTTGAAACCTTGGACATCTACGATAGCAGTCATGTCAACTTGCGCACTACGTTACTTAAAGTCTTATATTCCACAAGTTGATCGTTAATGATTAAACAATATCCAGTTGTCTTCTCTGGTATTGCCGTTGTACATTCAATCTCCAAACAAACATCTACGGGTCCTCTTTTTAGACTGTCGTTTTGTCTTGAACAATCTATCACAAATAGCGGTGCCTTCTCCTTAAAGCTACTTAAATCAAGTAATGGATCTGCGGGACAGTTGTAGTACGACTCGCGAAATTTCACATACATTTCGTATAATATATTAAATTTGTTTTCGGAAAACTTCAAACATAAGGGCTCGTATGGGTAATATTGTGAATTCAAAAACAATGTCACATTTCTCACTCCACAGTGATCAAATACTGAACAGTCTTTCATTTTTGATTTTTTCTGTTTGTTTGTAAACAAAAAATTACATATCAAGGTTTCTCTAATTGTGACGCAGTCTTAATAGACCAGGAATGCTTAGTTGCTGTAGGAAGTAAAGGGTAATATAAATCCCAATTTCTAAATGCCATCTGTATAGGTTTATCTCTTTCTTAATGTTTAAGAAGTTTTAGTCGTTCACGATCTGATACTTTCACATGTGGCACTCCCCATTGTAATCTTTGCATGCCTATTTGAAAATCTGCAACATCTTCAGTTCCTATAATACTATTTATGTTATAATTACTTCTGTTCAGTATAGGTTCATGTTTACAATTTATTACAATTTTAGCATAATCTTCTGCAAACCCTAAAATCTTATTTAAAGGTACAATAGCTCTAAAATCACCGTCTTCACTTTTAAATCCATCCATATCCCAACCCCACAAAGCTGCTACTTTATTTTCTGCTTCGTTCATTACAATGTATTATTTAATTGTTGACGTTATACCAGCATTTTTAAAACGATCTATTTCGATTCCATTTATCTCATACCTTATGTCTTGAAACAAGAACATAATAGGATTATTACTAAACGTAACAGGTTTTTAATCTGGTTTCCATCTTTGCTGAAGAGCTTTGCACGACCTTCGATGTAAATTGAACTGGCTGTTGGTAATACATATATGTCTTGCTGATGAATAGGAATTCTTATTTCATCGTTTTCTCTAAAGCTATTATTATATGGATTACAAGAATGGACTTCATAACTTTCAATACAAGTATCGAAGTTTGGTAAGTCATTAATCTGTAGTATATTCATACTTTAAATCCTAAGGACTTTAGAAAATTTTTATTATTTTTACTCAAGGTCTTAAATTTTTTCTCACGTCTTCGCACCTTAGTGAATGTAGAAGTAATAGGGCACTTTAAGTAGACTGTAGGCTTTTTATAGTGCAATATCATTTTACTTTCCTCAAATGGAGGCGAATTTGAATATATTATTCTTTGAAATTAATTCTGTAGCCAAATTGATCTAAAACTTTAATAGTTATAGATATAATATTATTTTTATTCACTGGGAAGTAAATAACGTTCTGAGATATTTCTATGTATTAAATATCTGCAGCAGTTTTAGATACAAATTCGTGAATAATATGAGTAGGTTACCCGTTGCAATATGAACCGTATATGAGATCACATTCGATTCTGATCACAGATGGGAACTTGCTATCAACATAAGAATATTTTGTTGTTAAGTTTATTACTGAAAAATATAGTAAACCGCACTCGTATTGACCTGATAAACTCAGAGGCGGTTGAAAGTAGGAATCCAATTCTGATTTATTTCCTGAGATAGTAACTGTTATAAACATGCTTGTATACTGAGCAATTTATAAAGTTCTTGTTTATTTTATGTCTTGATTGCGCCAAAAATTCTCCAAAAAATCAAACAAAGATGTCCACAATTAAAAGGATGATCACGCTGTATGTTATCATAATTATAGTGGACTTTAGGACCTAAATATTTTATCAATTCCATTGGAGGTTTAAGATTTCCAGAACTGTCGAAATATTCAACATAATTATTAAATTTTACATAGGCTACCCAATGAGATCCCGGATTTGAGGAAATATCTAAATTTATAACTCCACATTCTTTTTTAAAAGGGTGTGTTGGGAGCTCATCTCTCATAAAGACACCTCGAAAATAGGGAATATTTTTGGGATAGATCATTTATAAAATTATCAATGTGAAACCAAGGAGGACGATACGCGGTACCTATTGCAAGTTTTAAACCATTAGCTTTAACACTTAACCACATCTGTTCAATAGAGAGCGTACTCGGATATTCCAGGACGCGAGCGTGGATACCATTTCTAATATAAAAATCTACACCTCCTCCGCGTGCTCGGATGCTTGCAGGACGAGGTTTGTGTCGCTGTAAGTTGAGGTGTCAATGTTAGTTAAGGTGCGTTTGGGTAGCCTATATTCTAGTTTTTTTTTATTTCTTTAGATACAAAAATGCCAAATCCATTTAGGCATAAACTTTAGACAGGCTTAAACTGTAACCCATTCCGATACAAAGAGCTTCCATTTTTTCATTGTGTCTCTTCAATTCAGCAAATTGTTTTTTAGCCTTTTTGATTTCTTTTATAGTTTTAAGTATACCAGCTTTACCACCTGCTAAGGCTCCCGTAGCCGATAATCCGGCAAAAATCGGAATCAAAGGTAGTACCCCACCAGTTTTTGGTATAGGAATAATGCGAGGAAGTTTTATAACAGAATTATCAACTAGTTATCTAGCAGCAGCTATAGCTAGCTTAATTGCTGCTTTTAATTTTTGCATACGTCTTTTCGTTCTTAAACTTATTTTTAAATTCATTCCCCAACTTTCTTGGAGACCTTTTATTACTATTGCCATTATTTTAGGCCAGCCCCAGTTTTAATTTTTGATTGCATAGCTTTGCTTACTATATTTGCTGCTAACTTTTCTCCTAAATTTGCATCGGGAGCAATCTCTCGTGTTTTTCCATTTTTAACAAAACTAAATCCGCCTTATGTCGATCCTTTAAGTTTGAATATTTGTGATACGCAATGTCGTGTTCTTTACAATATTCGTCTATATACCTTTAACTCCACGTGATAGTTTTTTAAATTAATTTGTACCAGGACTATAATAACTGTATTCCGGTAAATGTAATTTAAATGGTAAATTATTAATCAACCAATTGAGAAGACTACTCTCGCCAATGCCCATCATAAGACTGTTTAATCGTGCTTGGGATATTTATTAAATATACCATTTTTTCTTATTTGTTCTTAATGTTAAACACAGTGGTCTTTAAGTCTATTATAATATATTTGACTTATCGATCCAACTGTTTTCACTAGAAGATAAACCTAGCCATTTTACTAAAACTTTATTTCCTTTCTTTCTTAAAACTTTTTCGACTAAATATATGTTTGGATTTTTGGTCTTTTGTAGCTCTTGCGCATAAAATCCTCCTAAAATTTGTTGACCTCTAATTGTATCTTCAATTAAGTAAGTGGTTGGAATTGTGTTCTGTTATTTTCGAATTTTAAATATTTATGTCAACCAATTTGGAGTATATCCTTTTTCGAATGTACCTTTGTATTTGCTTATACGCACATAATCACCTACTTTAAACTTACGTTTTACATTATCATTCTTTACCAATTTAAGGTATCTCTGTAGTATTCGTTTTTTACTTTTATTATTAACATTGGCTGGAATTTCACCAATAGTTCGATGATAAGTGTGATTGTATTCGTAAATAACATTATTAAGAGTATCGCCTATCCAGTTATAACTACCCTGTAAACTAAATGCTTTATACAATTTAGATTTAAAAGTTCGAATAAATTGTTCAACTATGGAAGCCTTCTTTGTTGAAAAGGTTGAGTGATGATTAATATTATAAGATCTCATAATTTTTTTAAACTTATCATTATAAAATTCTGTTCCATTGTCGGTTTGCAGATTTTTGGGTACACGTATTTTTAGGAGCTTCATAAAATTATAGCATACGTCCTCTTTACTTTTAGTCTTAATTGGAAAAGCCCAAGCGTATTTCGAAAATGTATCAATAACGGTAAGAATAAATCTGAAGTTTTTGTTTTCCTTAGAAACTGATTGCACATCAATTAAGTCTGCTTGCCATAAATCATCTATATCTTTCGTAATAACATTTCTACGTGGGAAATTCACCCTAGCATTTCTATGAATTTCATTTACTACATCGGCTTTACTCATGTTCAAAAAATAATGTATTTTATTTTATTCTTATGTTGGTAGTTATTAAAAATAATTCGTTTATGCTGCTTGTTACTTAAATAAATACAGACAATTTTTTTAGTAATTTACAACACGAGCAACTTTACTAATACTGAGTAAAAGCTAGTAATAATTAGTATTTTATTCCTTTATAATGTTAGCTTCTTTTAATTCTTCAAATGATCGATAAAATTTCATTATCATGATTTGTATTGCCCGCATCTCTTGAAGCTATTAAAAGTTTTAATCTATCAACTAATTCATTTGGATCATCCCAATATACAATATCAGTGTATTGATTTTATATTTCTTAAGCTTAGGTAAATTACCTCAAAGCTTTTCATCGATTTTTTATATTTGATTAAGGTCTCGAAAAATAATGGTTTAATTATTTTTCGATATTTAATTCCCTTATCACCTCTTATTTGACCTCTAGGGTTAAAATCTCTCTTATGAGCATTAGTATGGTGTAGAATATCTTTGTACACGAGTTTATCAGCGCTTGATACTAAATTCAAATCAGGTTTTTTTCTTAGTAGAAGTTCTCTTAACCCGATAGTTAAACTGTAAGATTTGTCTCCAATTTTTACTAAAAATACAGTTTCGTTATCCAAACTATCAATTTTAGAAAAAGTAACTTCTGAATTTCCCATCATGTAAGTTTTCTTTTCTTTTCTTATCCCAAATGGTATATTTAATTTATCATCGTAAATATCATTAATATAATTCCTATCTAATGAAGCCTCTAAATTGTCTTTAATTTCATTTTTTGGGGATTCTGCAAAACTCAAGTCAGCATCGTAATAGTTTTGAAATTCCGATTCAAATGATCCAGCAGAACTTGCGCATGATTGCATCGATAAATTATGGTCTTGATTTGGTTTTAGCTTATTTACTATGATTTTAAGGGGCTCTGTAACCGGTTTTAGCATTTTATCTAGGGATAAGTTCAGTTCATGCTCAATATTTTTCATTATTTTTATTTTATTCTTTATGGAGTCCACAGACTTCATTAATTCCATTTTAATTTGCTTTTCCATAATGCTCTACAATACTTCATTCAATCGCGGCTACAATAAAACTAGATAGTTTTATTTAAAAAACCCGTTTATAATAGTTTACTCTAGGTAAAAAAAAATATCAAAATTATTTCTATACCTGCCATTGTTTAACGGTGAGTCTTTGTTAATACAAACAAAATTATACGGCTTACTCCAAACTATATTACAAATATTTTTAAATTCATTCCATGACATATCAGAACTAACATGTTCTTCATAATTATGTTTTAAGTTCACATCATCTTATTTAAATATTATAATAAAATTGGCATTGTCTCGCAGCAATTATTTCGGAAATTTTGAGTAGGTCTGAGATAAATAAAAGCAATTGATTTGCTTGTGCCTGCCCATAGAAAAATAATTACAAATGTTGATTTGATTTTCACAAGCAACATCATCAAAAATAAATACAGAATTGTTTAAAGCTTCACTTGGACCTATAACGTCTTTGTTATCATTGAACTCATAAAATGAAATATTAGGCACTCCCTTAATTACTTCTCGAAAAAAGCGATATTTTGGTTGAGAGTTAGTTTTTGAATACAAGTAAAGATTTTGAAATTTAAGCCCATTTTCATGCAAGAATAAACTTATTACAACGTTTGTTTTACCGCAATTAGAGGAACCGCATATTATACAGCGAATGGTATTTGGTAAGAGAATGCTATGTCTGATCTTGTGAGCAGAGTGATCAATATTAATATTGCTAACGCTTAGCGATATGGGTTGTTTGATCAACTTCATCGTGCTTATTGAATGAGTTACTAACCTACAAACATAGGTATATATTTAAATTTTGCATGAACAATATTAGAGAGAAATGCATGTCACATCATGTCTGTTCTCCTATTCTCGTGTTACAAATTTCTTAGTAGATCTATGCTTACTTTGCAAAATAATGCTATTCTGATCTTACAAATCCTGAGTATATTATACAATTCTCATCTTACAACACATGATCACGTCATTACGCTACAGTACTTTCTATAAAGAGCACGTTTATTTCTTTAGCTGAAATTTGGAGTAAGTACTTTAAATGAAATATTTAAATAATAAAGTAACTTATTCTATTTTCTATTGTAATTCTAACTCTTATAAATGTAATAAAATATGTAACTTATACTCATTTTTGTTTTACAGAAACATGTCACATACATCATTTTACAGTCCTGTTTTGGATAGCTTAGAAAATATACGTGAGGTAAGTTACTATTTAGTTTTTATTATTTTTAATTGATTTTAAATTCATGGGTAGTAATTTTATAGCTGGCTTTCAGAATTTGATAGAAGACTCAAACCCAATTATCAATCCATTTTACTATGCTCAAGATAGGCAAGGCTGGTACGATGAAGTGGCGACAAAAACGTGCGAGCAGAGCCGTCGCCAAAAATCGGAGGAAAAAATATTAAAGAAAAAAATCAAATCAAATTCTTTGAAAAATACATCATTTATCATGCGAAAGGAAACGGGTGATGTACGTCATTTAATAAAAATTATAATACATGGTTTAGATGGTCGTAATATCGATGAAATAAATACTGAATCTGGAAATGCAGCTGTGAACGTGCAATATCTAGTGACAAGTGCATATGATGACATCTATCATCAAAACTAAGCAAATCTAGTATTTAAGTTTGAAATCAATTAATAAAATTTATGTTAATAAAATGTCTATAAATAAATGATTAATTTTTTCGACATGTATAACTCTGTTGTAAAAGTTAAGTGTATTTAAATATATTGTTTTTAAGTAATATTTAGTATTTAAGGATCTAATGAGATGATAAATAAAACAAAATATAATTATGATAATACAGTATTTTTATTTCAACTTACATATAAAGGTTTTTATATTTTAGCTAGAGTTATAATAACGATATACTAGTTACAATATAGAACATATTTGCAGTAAAGAATATTCAAAATAAAGTAATTTGTTTTTCATTTCAACATAATATGCAATGTTTATGTTTATAATTTTTTTATAAATAAATATTACTTTATTTCATCATTTAATTCTTCTTTATTTCATATTTCATCATTAGTTAAATATAATGCTATTTAAAATAAATTGCTATAATGTCACCAAGGCGAAGTTTTATACATATCTTCACATATTTGTCGCTTATCATCATTGCCACTAAGAATGAGCTTATTTATTTTTTGCGTATAAAGTATATGATTCTTAGATCGTATTACGTACATAGTGTCTCTATGGGTTTTCTTTGAATTTAAAATATCTCTATACTTTTCAATAGTTAATTTTTTTGTAATATGCTTTTTTACACCTTTTGCTTTTTTAATTGCGGACTTTAAAGTATTAACGCAGTATAATTTTGCTTTCAAGCCTATAAACTCTGTTATAATATCACCACCTAATTCATCTTTAAAATACCCTGGTATTTGTTTATTTGCTTTTGGAATATGGTATATATTATTTTCAGGAAAATTACTTGTATCAAAGTACTTAATATTATCTTTCATATCTTTAGTGTAAATTAAATACAAAAGACTATCTGTATAAGTGTAACAAAGTTTGATATTATTATCTTTGTATATTTTCTTCATTACAAAATAATGAAAATTATATAAATGACTTTTTGCAAGTTCCAAAATAGTAAAGCCCACATATATTGGGCGAACCAAGATCACTTTTGTTGGTCGGAGTTAAATGGCTACGAGGCTATCAGAAATAATTGTAAAATTTTTGAAATTAGGCGCACTAACATATTTTTCGGCACCACAGACTTTATTTGTGTTATTAAAATTATCTTTCCATACATTTACTAGCTTAACATCGACTTGTCTTCTTTTGTTCTCTATAGTTTTTCCAAAAATTGAATTGTTTTGTTTTTTAAAAAAGTCTCTTTCAAAATCAGATGTAGTATTTTGTCTTAAAGATGTATTTAGGGAAATATATGGCTCTAAAAATGCTTTTTGATTGAAAGCTAAAATCCTATGAATTTTCAATAAAACAAGTCCGTTTCTTAGGCATTTTTGTAAATTACGGTAATGGATAACATATTTATATTTATCATAGAGATTCGCAACCAATTTCTTATTACTAATGTTTGATGATATTGGAACTATTAATTTTTCTGTTGCAAACGGTAAGTCAGAATGTTCATCATGAATATCGCATGGATATTGCATGTCAACTTCGAGTATATATCCTTCATTACTATTAGAACTAATAGAGTTAATATCAAAACTTCTTAATTCTTTTTGTTTTAAAAACCGAAAATTTTTATAAGGTAGTTGCTGCATCATAGCATAACCATACAAATTTATACAATCTAAATAAACTAAGAAAGAATTTGGATCTTCTTCATTAAAATTTGGTAAGAATTTGTTATTAGCCTTTGCATACCTTAACGAGCATTGAGATAGCCCTCCTCTTGTACCATTTTCTAAAAATTGATAAATTTGTATATCAGTAATTAAATCCAACTTAATACTTGTCAACAATGGCATAGCATCCCAACTTAGTGAAGGTGATGAAACATAATGACAAGGATCGAGACCATAATAATTCAAACTCATGGATCTAAATTTATCAAAAACGTTGCAAAGTACTAAGACATCGCATTTCAGATATAACTCGGTATATTCACCTAAGTTTTTAATACCAAAATTTTGCCACACAGTTAAAGCATGATTATAATCTTCGCTTGTTATAGATTCTGATGTTAATTTATTGTAAAATTTTGATTGCTCTGGTAACTGAGTTTCTTTATACTTTTCCTAAGAATCTACATAGCCATAGCAATATACACCCTTTCTAAGACATAATCGGAATAAATTTTCATTTGGAAAGAATGTTCGCAAATGTTTTAAGTTTTCAGGATTTAGAGTTTGTACTAAATGATCTAAACTTGAACTCAGGAAATTAAAGGAGTCTATAAATTTTAATTGCG